CAACAACTACCCACTTTGCTGGCTCCATACTGAAGATGAAATGGCCAGAAAGAATTAGTAACAAGAAACTCTGGGAACAAACCAACCAAGGGCCGATTGCTCAACAAATATGTAGGAGAAAATGGAGATGGACTGGTCAGACATACATTGAAGAAACCGTCGACTGACATCGCGCTCAATGCAGACCATCGCTCGAGTTGAATCCCAGTGGGAAGTAACGAGTGGGTCGTCGGTGCGACGGTGACATGGAGGAGATGGTGTGAGCAGGAGGCGAGAGATTATGGGCAATCGTGGACCCAGCAGAAGAGGACGGCAGAAAATAGAACAAAGTGGAGATGTGTTGTTGAAGCCCTATGTTCCACTTGAGTCCACCGCTTGTGAAAGTGAGGTGTTGTGCGTGTTCTCCATAGGAATATTCCTAAATATACCCATGGGAGAAGCGGTGGTCTTTACAGTGATACAGACACTCAGGAGGAAGAATAGCATATTACCTTCAAACTGTTGTGGTATTCAAAATAAGTACAGAACAATTTAAATTAAATTAGCTAAATACAACAGACAGAAGCAAACTGTTCGCAGTGAACTTTTAACTTACCAACATGAAGTCTATAAGGCCATCCCATGTTATGGCGGATAAAATAATACGATAGTGATTACTTTCTACCAGATTAGTAATCAACAGACCATAGAACTTTGAATCGTCAAATCTGTATATTATAATTAAGATAGAAATTGAATGGGTGAATAACTGAATTATATGATTACAGAAATGACTATTCAATGGAGATAATTTTATCTATGAGTTTACATATTAGTCTATGACTGGCTGACTGTTTTCAACATAGAACTTTGAACAGATGTGCAGCAGTTCGAGTTGCCACACTCTACTACTCCATGTAGCACACAAAGCAAGAGAAGAGAGTTAAGGGAAAATCAAAAGACAGAGAGAGAAAATAAACAGAAATGTTAAACAAAAAGAATAGTAATGTGGAAGAGCCATAGAATTTTACTGGATATAATAAATCACAAGGAGTGGATGCATCTACGCAAGCTAGTGAGAACAATTTTGAGCCATATTACCTATTGTCTCCAGCCATTGGTTCTTACCGTCCCGAAGACCCCAACGAGGAAGCTAGTCTACACCTGCCTACGTGACTGGCTTAAACTAACTGTTGTGGATTTCATTGACTGGTGAAGCCATGTTTTGGTTTGACAGCCGCTAGCTCTTTTCCAGCCTGACCCTATGTCAGCTAACATTGCCCATCGAGGAAGACGATGGCCAGGCATAGCGTAGCATATGTCCTTGCCATCTCAATCGATATAGATTCACAAACTCATCAGTCGAATTACCCTCTTTACCTAACACTCACTCTACTATACCATCTAACATGGGAGATAGAAAAGCAGGCACCTTTGATCAAAGACACCTAGCCTGACTTTTCATGTCTTCCACTTTTAATGACCAGGTCTCACAGTCATAAAGGAGGAGACAGCGAACTGCTGAGTAGCACACACGCCCTTTGGTCGACAGCCAGCTGGATATCACGTCTACTAAACCAGAGATGGCG